ATAAGCCTATATGGACAGGGATTTTTTTTTTCTATTTTTCTGATATTTTACAAATTACTGTGTAATGAACTTGTACTGAATTTTTATAATAGAACGCTTTCTTCAGATAGAGTTTAAAAACATATATTTCTAATGAGTATTTTAGAATATATATACCCAAATCCACTAAAATTTAACAGGCAAAAAAAGTCCATGGTATTAGTGAGTCTGAAAGCCAACTGACCCAATAACTTCATTGAGCAACTGCAAATCGGCACTCTGAATCAAAATACAGCTGTGGAACAGAAAAAGTTTAAAGATATTCTAGACACAAAAAGTGACTGCTTCCAGACAAGTACAAATGACAGTTTACTTTTACCAAACAGCTTATCAACTGATCTTTATGTAAATACTGCAAATGTTGTAAAAAATCCCAACATTATTTTTATAGATTAGGAACGAATAAAGTCCAAGAACAACACCAATAACTCAATTAAAATAACTCCTGCTTGTGTTTATATAAAATTTGATGAGCATAATATATTCATTACAACACTGCAATTATTCCCTGAAAATAATACTCTAAATATTATTTTGACAATGTAATTACAGTTCTTACCTCAAGAGTAGAAACAAAAAACTGGCACAGTTTCCACTAAAAATCTTCCTAGAATAAGCTCCTCCCTGAGAATGAGTTGAAAGACAGCATAGGCGCTTTATTAGGTCTATTTAGAATACCTTCTTAAAAAGATTATTTGTATTAGGTCTGAAGTAACACGCTACAAAAACACCCTATTTTTATTTTTGAATCAAAATTTCATTGTTGAATTCCAAATAAAATCCAGTAGCTACACAAGCTGCCTCTCCCAAAAAGGTGATGAGAGATACCAACTGACTTCCACTTTCTTTCTTGCCCCAGTAACATCCTACCAACTCAGTCCCCTAAACTAAATGATCCCCTTAAAACATATGCAACTGGAAAATTAAAGGCAGCCTAAACCTACAGGGAGATGTTCTATGTTCGTGGACTAAGAGACTCAGTAGTGTTCAGATAGCAGTCCCCAGCCCAGCCTTGGCAGGGTCAGAGAGCCCTGCACCCCAGAGCTAGAAGCCACGTGCTGACCACGGTTCCAGTCCCTAGCCCAGGTGGCTGAAAACACAGCAGGCACATGTGTTCATGCCCAGGATCCTGACAAGCTACAGGACTGGCAGAAGGACTGAGCCATGGCTGGACCCTGCTGGGGTGCTATTCTTTTTCTCTTTCTGACAAACGCCTGTGTTCTATTGTGGATTAAAAAAAAACATTTAAAGATGACAATTCTTCCCAAAGTGATCTATATTCAACACAGATCCAGTATCCACAACACTCGTGTTAATATCTGTTAGAACTTGGCCAGCTCTTTGGCCTGGTGGTTAAGGGAGCCAGATACCACATGCTGACCATCCTGGTAGTTTGAAAAACAGGCTAGGCTCACATGTGTACATGCCCCAAACCTCAGCAGGGTAGAGAAGTGGAGAAGGGACTGCAGTGTGAACATACCCCACTGCACAGTGTGTTCGCCCTCTCCCTCTGTCCCTCTTTGGGAAGCACACATACCCTCTGACAAATTAGAAACAAACAAACAAAAATTCTTTAACACTTCACAACAAAGGAGACTTAATAGTCTAATTAAAAACTGAGCAAAGGATTAGAATAGATACTTGTCCAAAAAGTTTATAAACGGCCAAAAAGTACACGAAGGGATATCCAATACTATACTATTACTGGTCATTTGGGAAATGAAAATCAAAACCCGCAGTGACGTACCACCACTTCACACGAACCAGGGCGACTATCGTACAAAGAAGAGAGCGCCAGCAGGGACAGGAGAAAGAAGGCACCTGAGCACTGCTAGTGAAGAAGGAAAACAGCTTCGCTGCTGCAGAAGCTGCTCGGTGGTCCCTCACAACGACAGAGTACCATGTGACCCATCAGGTAGGTCCACTCCCAGGTACACACCAAAGGAACGGAAAAAGGCCCTCAAACAAACACACGCACACACATTCACAGCAGTGTTACTCATGACAGCCAAATATCCGTCAACTGATGAAAAGATAAACAAAATGTACCGTGTCCGTACAGTGAAATGTCATTCTGCCTCACAAAGGGGCATACGGACACAACCCACAAGGTGGGTGACGCTCGAAACGTTCTGTAAGTTAACGCCAGACACAAGAGGTCTTGCAATTCTACGGTTCCATTACGTATGAATTAGTCAATCCAGAATGATGGCTGTGGGGTCCACAGGGAAGGGGATGTAGGAGCGACTGCTTAATGAGTACACGCTTCCTTGTGGAGTGATAAAAATATTTTTAACTAGGCAACTGGAGTGGTTGCATAATACTGTGAATGCACTGAATGCCCCTCGATTGTTCACTTTAAAATGAAATAAAGTAAAAAGGGGGGCCAGCAGGTGGCACGGTGGTTGGGACACTGGACTCTCACATGGCTAACCACAGCTCAAGTCCCAGACACTCAATGACTTGAAAAAAATCACACTGGATGTGTGTGCCAAGATCCCGAGAGGAGAACGGAGGAGAGTTCCAACTACTGCACTGCCATCGCCCCTGGGGGTGAGTTCTCCCTATAGCAAAATTTCTCTCAAAATGTTTAAAAAGAAAAGAAAAACATGGTGGGCGCATGTGGATGTGTGCCCAAAATCCCAAAAGGAGTAGAAGAGAAAGAACTATGGCATGGTCATCCCCCAGGAGGTGCTTTCTCATTTTCCCTCTTTCTCACTCTTTCTATGGTAAGTGCATACATCTTACAGTAAATTTTAAAAAAGAAAAGAAAAAACAAAACAGAAGTCAATTTATTCCTCCAGGACATACTGGTTCATAAAAGCAGTTTCAGCTATCTGCTCCATCAACTTCTCTCTTAGGTCATCTGCCTGATTCACTGAAAATTAGTCCTGTGAAAAAAGGGTGAAATAATCTTTTATCATATATATAAAACTTAAATAAATTTGTTATAGCGGATCTGGGATAGAGAAGAAAGGGGGGATAACAGACGAAGAGGGATGTGGATGCAAGGAAAGACATTCGAGATAGAAAACAGAAAATAATGGAGTACAAAGGAGAAAACGGATGCCGCCTCAGAGCAGGGGGAAGGTGCAGGCGAAAAGCTTCTGCGTGGGCGAGCGGGGTGGGATCCATGCACAAGCGGAGGGGCTGGCTCCACTCTAATAGCTATTTAATCACAGCATGTGCGCTGCGCTTCCTCTGTGCTTCTTTATTTAGGTTACACCATGAAAAGAGAAACCTCCTTCTGCCCACCACAGCACTTCGGCTCTGCCAGTGACACACGATCCACCACATCAGTGTTTTCAGCAATTATAAAATGCAGGACATTCTGAACTTTCTCACTGAATTACCATACCACACACAGACTTCAAAAATAGCTGACTTCCCATGCAACACAGTGTAACATGCACTTTACTGCTGATTTTTAATCCCCTAATTTTTGAAGATTGAGGCTTCTGCTTTATTATAAAATGGAATTATGAAAATATCTTCAAATACATAACATCATAAAAACACATCACAACTGAATCCTATGCTCATCAATTTTTTTAAAAATACTACTCCTGTTCAAAAAATCTTAAGAAGTAACACTTGTGTCTATTTTTTAAAGATATAATTATTTTTTAAAGAATTATTTATTTAGGGAACCAGCAGTTAGTGTAATGGCTATGTCACTGGACTCCCACATAGTCAACTGTGGTTCACGTCCCGGACCCGGTGGCTTAAAACTCACGCTGGGCACGTGTGCGTGCGTGCCCAAGATCCCAAGAGGAGAATGGAGGAGAAGGGATTGCGGCATGACCATCCCCCCTGGGGGGTGATTTCTCGCTTTCTGTCTCTATGTCTCTCTCTGTCTGTCTGGCAAGCGCACGTGCCCTATAGTGAAAAAAACCTCTCCAAAAAAAAAAAGAAGAATTTATTTAATTTTATTTACTATTACTATTTTTTAATTTGACCAGAGAGACAGGGGCGGGGGGCACGAGAGAGCAAGCTACCAGGTCTGGAACTCAAACCATGGTCAGTCATGTGGGAATCCAACACCTTAACTACCACACCACCTGTCAGTCCCAGAAGATGTAACTAATTTTAAAAATATGATTACTGGGACCAGCAATTAGCGTAATGGCTATGTCACTGGACTCCCATGCAGTTGACCGCGGTTCGCGTCCCAGACCTGGTGGCTTAAAACTCATGCCAGGCACGTGTGCGTGCGTGCCCAAGATCCCGAGAGGAGAAGGGAGGAGAAGGGACTGCGGCGTGGCCATCCCCCCCCGGGGGGGGGTGATTTCTCGCTTTCTGTCTCTCTGTCTCTCTCTGTCTGGTGAGCGCACACGCCCTATCGCAAAAACTTCTCAAAAAAAAAAAAAAAGTAAAAATATGATTACCATGTCTCAAAAAAATATTTCTCAATCAAAAAGAGCCCCAAGAATCTGACAATTTTCTGAACTGACAATGAAAACAGTAAGAAATCACAGAGCAGAGTAAGAACGAGGCCTTGTCAGGAAGTCCTCTCAGACACCAAGACAGCCTTCACCTCTGTGCATGGTTGCTCAACTTCTCTTAATGATAAGTAATATCTCACTACTGAAGTTCCCTGCCTCATGAAATACAGCTGTGTGCTTTAATGAATATCATGCTTGAAGTTTAGTTTTGTTCATTTGCTGTTTTCAAACATACCAGAGGGCACGTGCATTTACTAGATAGAGAGAAGGAAAGAGAGAGAGAGAGAAAGTTAAGAAAGCATCCCCCGCCCCCAGGTTGGTAACGCCACAATCCCTTCTCCGTTTTCTCCTTTCAAGACTTTGCGCATGCATGTACCTGTGTCCAGCTGGGACTCAAACCATATAGTCAGCCCTCTGGGACCCAGTCACCTTAACCACTACACCACTGGCTGACTCCTCAAAATATTAAACCACCTTCAATGATATAAATAAGCCATGAATTATACTGCATGTTACCTGTCAACAGGGATTCTTGTTCCACTCGTAGTTCACGAAACAGAAGAATCAAATCAACAGCAACACCAATTGTATCCAAGTTTCTGTAACAGGTTTTAAGAAAGACAATAATTATTTAGACAGTCCTTGTTCTTAAACCTATACTTCAAATGACAGCACAGCATGTGCTGCTAAGCCCACCAGTAACAGCTCCCACGGCAGGTGACGACAGCTCTCCAGAAGTGCACACCCCCTAAGCCCCCACGTCTGTGAACGCATTTCCTTGCATGACAAATGGGACTCACAGGCACGACTAAATTAAGGACTGCATGATGGCAAGATTAAGCCAGATTATGTGGGTGGGCCTATGGTAATCAGAAGACCCTGGTAAAAGGACACAGGAGAGTCAGAGACAGGAGAAAGGAGACCTAGACCAAGGAATGCAAGCAGCCTCCAAAAGCTGGAAAAGGCAAGAAAACCGATTCTTCCTTTAAGAGTTGACAGAAGGAACACAGTCATATCACCTCATTGGAGACTTCTGAACGCCCATACTGTAAGATGATAAAAGTGTGTTGTTTAAACACTGCGTTTTTGGTAATATGTCACAGCTACAACAGGAAGCTACTGCAGAATTAGGGAGCCAAAGTGGGATGATGCTGTAACAAATACCTAAAAAAGGTAGAAGTAGCTTTGGAATTTGGGCAGAAGCTGGAAGAAAAGTGAGAAGCCACCCGGGTTATCCAAGTGGGCTGACTGTAATCATAAGAGTCCCTAAGAGAGGGATGTATTAAGAGTCAGAGAGATTGTTAGATGCTACACTGTTGCTTTGAGATGGGGGATGGGGCCATGAGCCAAGGAATGCAAGCAGCCTCTAGAAGCTGGAAAAGATTAGGTAATGGGGGCTGGCAGGTGGTGTGTTGGTAAAGGTGCTAGACTCTCACATGGCCGACCATGGTTCGAGTCCCACCTGGACCCAGTGGCTTGCTTTCTCTCGCTTTCTCACTTTCTCTCTCTCTCTCTTTCTGGGGAGCACACATACCCGGTAGCAAACTTAATAATGATAATAAGGGACCAGCACATGGCATAATGGTTACATCGCTGGACTCTCACATAGTCAACAGCAGTTTGAGTACCAGACCCCGGCATCTTAACTCATGCCAGGCACATGTGCATGTGTGCCCAAAATCCTGAGAGGAAAGTGGAGAAGGGATCGCAGGGTGGCCATCCCCCCGGGGGTAATTTCTCACTTTCTTTCTGTCTCTCTCTGTCTTTCCGGCGAGCACACGTGCCCTATAGCAAAAATCACTCTTTAAAAATAATAGTAATAATAAATAAAATAAATCTTTCTTTTTTAAAGACAAAACAAGATAATAGACTCTCCCCTAGAGCATCTGGAAGGAATCTGTCCACAGATACTTTGACTTCAGCCCAGTGAGTCTGACTTTTGACTTCTGAACTGTAAGATTAAATTTTTTAAAATGTTATGTCACTAAATTTGGGGCAATCTGTCATAGCAGCAATAGGAAACCAAGACAACTTCCTATTTTCTTCATTTCTTCTCAACATGAATGAGAATTCAGCCAAGATATTCACTCACCAAAATGAATCCTGGTCTGATTGGATCAAATTCTAGAACCCTGCTGTTAGTGCCCATTTTAATGGAGGAACTTGCAGATGGTCAGAGTGTACAAGTGGCTAGGGTGCTCTCTCTCGTCCCTTCCTCAAGGCCAGCTGTGACTAGTAGGTGCAGCAGCTTGGCACCTGCCTCCTAGAGAAGAAGTTACTGCCCCACCTCTGTTCCTGACCTTGCAGCTACACAGACAGATGGTTTACTGGGCCAACAGGCCTGCTGCCAGTGAGCTGAAAATGACTTTTAGTTTTTTAAAAGGTTGGAAAGGGCTAGCCAATGGTGTTGTGGTTAAGGCAGTTGGATGCTACATAGCCAACTGCACGGTTCAAGTCTTGGACCCAGTGGCTTGAGAAATATGCTGAGTACATGTGCATGCATGCTCAAAATCCGGAAAGGGAAGAGAAGAGGAGGAGAAAGGACTGTGGCATGGCCATACCCCACGGGGGATGCTTTGGCACTTTCCCTCTCTGTCTCTCTCTCTGGCAAGCATATAGGCCCTCCAGCAATTTTTTTTTTAATTTACATTACGAAAGGGGGGCAAATCAAAAGACTGTAATTTCATGACATGAAGACTTCATGAAACTCAGACTCTGGTGTTCATAAATAAAGTGTTACTGGAGTATTAGCTGTGGCTTTTCTCACACTATGATGAAACAGTGAGAATTCTGACAGAGACCACACTCTGGCCCTTACCAAAAACGTACAGTGACCCAGCAGTAGGGGTTGTATTACGAGCAGAGCTAACTGCTTTGAACGGTCTTCTCTGACTATTTCCTGAAATTTCATATGACTCAGCTTGTTTGCTTTCCTGTATTACACCTCATTCCATAGATCCTTGGCAAAACACAATCCCAGTCCACACAAGTGTAATGTTCAGACAAAAGATGTCAAAAGATCTAGGCCTTAATAGCCTCACACCTTTTGATTAACTCTTTAATAACTTAAAACAAATAGCAAAAATATTTATATATATCTCCATTGTAATCTGAATCTTGACTCGAAAACATGGAGTTGTCTATGAAGTCCTTACTAGAATCTTTGTTGTGCCTCTAAATAGGAATCTCTTTTCCAAGGGCTGAAGCCTTCAGTGGTTGGAATTTCCCTTTGAAAATCAATAGTAAGGGGGCCAGCAGGTGGCATGTTGGTTAAGGTGCTGGAAACTTCCACATGGCTGGCCACAGTTCGAGTCCTGGACCTGGACCTGGAGGCTTTCTTTCTCATTTTTCCTCTCCCCCTCTCACTCTCTCTCTCTCTTCCTGGTCAAATTAAAATAAATTAATGAATAAGTAAAATTAAATAATTCATAAGGGGAAAAAAAAGAAAATCAACAGTGAATAACAACACAATCCTAGAAGGTAGGAGGCTGAAAAACTAAGGCCCACAAATGTCCATCTCATCTCAGCCTAACCAAATGCTGAGATACCATTACTTCTCCCAAAGAAAGGCAAAGCTGTTCTCAAAGAAAGCAGTATTATGGTAAGCTTGTACTATTCTACCACTCCCGAAGCAGAGGCAGAAACACTTGCCATTAATTGAGCATGGCATATGCGGACGCCACCAGGCACTTCACCCAAGTCACCACCTGTGTGCCTCACTACCACCTTGCCCGAAGACACTGCTTAGCCCATTTTACAGAGGACAAGCGGATACTCAGAAAGGCTAAATGCCTTGTCCAGGGACTCATGACAGCAAAAGAAAGGGAGCAGGCGTAGGCAGAGGGCCAAGGAGAGGATTTCAGAGCAGTCATGGCAGACGGCCTCTGGGCTAGGCCTGTAGAGCCAGGCATCTGGAGTCAGAGACAGCTTCCCGGCTCTTACCCAGGAGTGACTCTCAGACAAGCTACGGAACTTCCTGGAATCACAGTTGCTCCTTCTGCAAAGGAGAGAAAGGGTGGCATCCTATTTCTTGAGTTTGTTCTAAGGATTAAACAAGACACTACAAGTAAAGCACCAGGACAAAGCCCGGTGCTGAGGGCAGGCTTCCACCCCCGGCCAGGGTAAGCAGCACGGGGACACCTGCCCTCCCACAACCGCTAGGTCTGCCTAGGGGGAGACTGGGTCCCTTCTCCTCCTCAGAGGCCCCCCTGCCTGGAAAAGGACAAAAGAAACTAACTTAACTTGTTAGGTTTTAAATGTTAACTACTATGACCAAAATTATTATTGTTTCTGTTTATCTGTAAATGGATGGCAGTCTGGTTGAAATGGGAGGTTAAGCGGCTCTAGCTCTTTCCCTTCTCCTTTGATCTTCAAAATCTCATTAATCATAAGAAAGACTCAGGTATGAG